TATTGATGAAATAATTATAGATTTATATACATATATATTATATGCATATACATATATGTATATATATATATACATATATATATATATATATATATATATATATATATATGTATATAGGGTGGTCTATTTAAATCATCTGAAATATCTCGCTTATTTTTGATGATATAAAAAAATGTTTCAAGTGAAAGTGGAACGGTTTCAAGGGGGTTTCAACGTATTTTGATTATGTATCTTAATTTTGATATGGTATATAGTTGCTTAAATACCGATCGGCACGCGAGTTGGTGAGGTAAAGGATAGAAAACAAGCTGAAAATCGTGTGAAAGTTGCAAGTAAATTCCAGCACCGTTTTACATCATTAAAAAAAAGCAAGATATTTCAGATGATCAATTTAAGTGGACCACCCTGTATATACATACATATACAGGGTATCTGATCTAACTCGAGCAGTTGAAATATCTCGCTTGGTTTAATGATAGAAAAAAATATTTCAAATGAAAATGAAACGGTTTCAATGAAGACGTATTTCGGTGTTGTTTTTCTTCTAGAAGAAGGCGTCAAAAATAAAAAGGTAAAGGTCAAAAAGGTATAAAAATATAAAGGTCACCACTTTTTTAAATGAAATTGTGTTATTTCTTTACACAATATGATTCCTCTAATTACATGCATATAAAAGTATTTAAGCAGAGACGTAAAAAAACCAATTATTAAGATATTGTACACTTTTCTGGTATAAATTGACATAAAATGTTAAAATGTTTAATAACTCGTAAACTATTAACTTTTTTACACCCGTACCTTAATACTTTTATGAACAGAATAATGAGATGAATCAATTGGTGTAAAGAAAACACGTAGTTGCTTATTTGAAATATAATCCATTTTGCCAATGCTTTTTTTTAAGCAACTACAGTATCAGTCAAAAATTTAAGTTCACTTCCCATAAATATACAATTCTGAATAAAATGCAGTCTCGCCATATTTTACAACGTTGCTTTTTCATGAGGAAAGAGAATAATAGGTTCTGGTTTTGTTTTCCAGCAGGATAACGATCCTAAGCATACATCAAAATTGTATAAGAAGTACATCACGAACAAAAAAAAAACAGAAAGAGTTAAAATTCATGAATTGATCCTCTTAGTCATCTGACCTGAACCTAATCGACTACTATGGAATGAGTTGGACAGAAATGTGCGAAAAATGCAACCAACTAATCAAAATCAACTGTGGGAGTTTTTGCAAGTGTGTTGGACTCAAATTTTAGTTACTGCTTTGAAAAAATTTATAGAAAGAATGCTCAACGTATGTGCTGTTCTGAAATGTAAAGAAAAATATTTTGAAAAGTCAAAAATCAACAAAAAAAAATATAGAATTTAGTTTCTATGCTGTTTTATTTTACGATACTACTTTTTTCCTTGAAAATAAAGCTGTTAGGCCAGGATTGATTACAAAAACTTGTGTTATTAATATATTCCCAATAATTTGGGATAAAACTTAAACTTTTGACCGGTAGTATATATATTTTTTTATTCCAATTAATTCATCTCATTACTCTATTTATAAAAATATTAAGGTACAATTATCAAAAAATAAGTAGTTCACGAGTTATTTAATATTTTATGTCAATATGTATCAGAACAAAGTATAAAACATCTCTTAAACTATTTGGTTTTTTTTATGTCTCTGTCTGAATACTTTTTATGTGCAGAGTAATTAGAGGAATAATGTAAAAATAATCATACAATTCCATTTTAAAAAATGGAGTTGACTTCATATCTTTTTGACATTTCCATCTAAAAGAAAAACAATATGACCGAAATACGTTCCCATTGAAATCGTTCCACTTTTATTTGGAACATTTCTTCCTATTATAAAAACCAAGCAAGATATTTCAGATGCTCGAGTTAGATAGGATACCTGATGTGCACGCACGCACGCACGCACGCACATAAAATATGTATATTCATATATATATATAATTACTGTTAATAATTATAGTGAAATTTAACATAATCTAAGTCGCCACGCTCTTATTCAATATATCGTTTTATTAAAACAATGGTTAAATTTGACAATGTAGTTTTAAATTTTATCATTATTTTTAACGATATATTGAATAGGACCAGTAGTGACTTACTTAATTTAAATTAGATTAAATTTGATACTACAGATTTAACATATTATGCATTATCATTCACTATATATAGTATGTATTTATCATTTTCTTATTTCTTAATAAAACTTTGTAAACACATTTTTTTATGTTATTGTCTTTTATGCCTTATTTATAAACATTGTTTGTAAATTTTTTTATTTGTCGTATATTTCACCTCTATAGGATATATTACAAAAATACAAAGATTTTAAAAGTTTTTTTTTTTATATAAAAAGTAAATATTTTAAATTTCTAATATTTTTTCGTAGTAGTAGACAGCATAAAGTTTTTATTGACACAGTTTATTTAGTTTAAACATATAGTAATTAATACTTGATAAATTAAGTTTTTTTTAGATCTAGCGTATATATCGAAGTTACTCTAAACATATTTGGTAAGTGCTTGTACTGTTTAAGATATCTAAAACAATGAAACAAGAAATTTGGGCTAATAGGAATCGGCGCTGTAAACAATGCGCAAATATTTAAACCCGCACTTAATATTAAATCATTTATCGTACTTCTTAAAAAATATTTCACAATTAAAGTACACTTCTATTAATTTTTTAATCATCTTCAATCGAAAATGAAATGATCGTAGTAAACTCTTATGTTAGACTATGTTACTCGTTACTCGGTCTTTAACGCAATTTCTCTTTTATAAGATGGAAATTATCCCACAATCACTTATAAAGATGGATGGTCTCAAATGAATATGATAATATTATTAAATATATAAAATTATAAAACACTAAGATATAAAAAGGGAAATAAATAATGTGTATAGAAATTAATTGACTTCATGGAAACGCAACAGATGTACAAGACATGAAAAACATACATATGTGATGTAAATGTAAAGTTTGAAAATTTAAAATACGGTATATATAAAATTAAAAATCACCAAAAAGATGTAGTAACACAATTAGTAATTGCTAAAATAAATAAGCTAAAGTAAACTACAGAATGTGAACCTAACAAGTCAGAAAATAAAATTAGACTTAATGTCATCATTAAGAACAAAATCAAAATTGTTGTCAAAACAAGATAAACTATTACGGTTATTTAAATAACGGTAATAGGCTTGGTTAAGCAAGTATTTGTTTTCAGATTAATGTAATTATTTTGACATTTGATGTTTATTATTTCTGAAATAAATCATTTGTTATAATTCCGCTTTATGTCCAAAATTTCGATGTTCTTGTTGTCTATCAAATATTAAACAAGAATTAACTAATGCTTAAATTCTAATTGAGAAAAAAAATTGGGGAATTAGATATTAAGGAATTAGATATTAAAATACATTGATTAAAGAATATGAATGAATGTTTATTACTGACTGCAACATACGCTACAATTTTGCTTTTGATACGTCCTACTTTATATACGAGTCTGTCTAATCATTTTAGTTTTCATTATTTTTAATATATTGTAGATATATATTTAGAAACAGAAAAATTTAATAAATATATTCAATGTCTTTTATTGCATAGGAATTATATGTCTTACATTGCTTAGGAACCTGTCTAATCTATTCGGTATATATTATTTTTAGTGTGTTATAGATTCATTCATATGTAGTTGGGTGAAAATTTAATTTAATACATAAAGAGCATGCACACATGTGAAAAAACAATATGTTAAATAAATTTTTTGTTAATAAAATTTTGTTTTTAATAAATAAACGACAGCTAAATTCTTTCAATTGTTTTCAGGGATATATCTTTGATAATATATATCATGGTCATTGAAAGGCTTGACTTAATGTTTTAGAACATACATACTGAAAGGGCCATAGGTGACTGTCGATGGCTGTAACATCTATTTGTCCTTGTCTAAATGCTTCATCGTAATATGTGTCGATTATTATTATGTAGTATTAAGAGTATTGTACTTTCACTTTAGAATATATACATGCACGTTCAAAGCTCACATGTAAATCACGCGCAAGCGTACACAAACAAGCTTTCAGATAAGGACAGATAAATGTTGGAGACACTTTTATTACATTGATCAGATACGGTATAACCCTTTCAATATGAAGCCTAATGTGAAGGTTTACTCATGATCAATGCAATTGGTCAATTTTTTCTTCATCCGAGATTTCAGATCGACTTCTAGCATTGTAAACACAAAGTTTAATAACCGAAGTGCAATCTAGTTATAGAAATATGTGATTGGAAGTATGGATAAGATTTGAATCAGAGCTCCATTTTTAAATTTATTTATCTAGATTTATAAAAGTAGCGCATTGTTGTAGCTCCATTTTGTGTAGCTCCATTTTACATGCCGACAACCCCGTTTTCTTATTATAGTTAACCCGTTACTCTTGTAATCTAAAGTTCTAATTTGAATTGCAGACATCTTTACGTGATGGGGTGTTTTACTTGTTAAAACTAATAGGAGTTGTAAACACGATAATTTTTACATTATAATTCTAAAAATTACTAATCTTCAATGCCTTCTAGAGATTAAACTTATAAACTTATAAAAAGTTATGTTTATTGATATTTTTGATCAGCATTAAAATTATAAAATATAAACAAATTCGGGAGACAATTTCTTATAAAGTATGGGCGGAATCATTTTATGTTCAATTTTTAAAAATTAAATTTTTAAAAATTAATTTAAAAAATTATACTTTTGTTATTTATGTGTAATATATGTATATTGACTTAATAATACTTAATTATGTAAATCTGAACTTTAATGATAATTAAATAAACTTTAATGTTTATATTCCATTATCTTTTTCCAATATAATTCGAGAATAATTAATTAATTTTGATTTAGTTTTAATCATCATTTCCAATGTTTAAAAAATTATTTGGAAAATCATTCTCATATATCACATCGTCAAAGTATTAGATTCTCCTTAAAAAATATTTAGAATCTGTTTAGATGTGTTCAATGGCAAAACTTCGATGCAAACAATCGCAAAATAAGTACTCAAAATTCTCGGTGAACCATCAAATCCGGAATCGTTGCTCCTTGTTGAATTCATTCTCTTATGTTCGGAATCGTCATTCAATTCAATGCGAGTCGATCCATTTTCGTCCGTACTCCTTGTCGTGACAGTACTCGTCGTACTTTCAGTACTGTCGCTACTGATGGACGGTGTTCGCGAATGATGCCGTCTTCTCTTGATCTTTACCCGTCTGACTTTGGGGAGATCCCGCGGCGTAGCACATCTTCATAAGATCGAGTGGCCGTTGTAAAGGTGTATTCTTCGGACTGGACTTGGGAGACGTCTTTGGCAAAATTTTCACTAGATGGTGCTTCTCGGGGACAAGTTTTGTGATAAGCATATTCCGTTCATTCACTGACGTTATTAATTCATTATTACAAATCTCCTTTAGCCCCTTTTCACTTTTTTCTAATAATGCCTTTTTAATTGATGGTTTCTTCTTTTTAATCGCACGCTTCGTTTTGGAAGATTGCAGAGGACTAACGCTAGGACTAGTGACCAAACTGATTTCCTCTGACGCAACTGGAATTTCGACATCGTTTATGTTTGTCAAATCGTCTTGATTGCTCCATCTTGAAATTTTCCTGATTAAAGAGGGATTGAATGACAAGTCATTTGTTGGAGTGTTTGGATTTTCATGTTCCTCCTCGACTTTTCGATTGTTGCACTCTTTGAACAACTCGGGTGCTTCAACTATATTTATTTCCGGCATGGTAACCTCGACTGAAGTAATCACGGAAGTTGTACCGAAATTGTTGCACTTCAACGAAGCTTTCTTCACAGTCGGACTTATGTTCTTAGTGTCGATCACTATTGAAAAATTCTTCTTTTTTGATGATATCTTATGCATCGTCGGCATGTTTCTTTCGATTTCCATTGCTTTTGCAAGTCTCTCTTTTTCCGCCTTTTCTAATCTTAAAGATTTCGAAACATTTTTTTCTTTTTCTTTCTCCTTTTCAAAGACTATATTATTAAATCCGTCTATCGAATTTTCGAATGTCGTAGTGTTCATTTTAACGTTAATCTCAGTTTTTCTTTCATTATCTTTCCTCTTTGAATTCATCGAATTTATATTTTTTTCAATTTTAGAAGTACTTGTTTTGCGGAGAGGAAATCCATTTTGTTGCTTCGATCTCGTCATTTCAGGACTATTCGGCGCTTTGATTTCGCTCCAAAAATCAATGGACTCAGTAGAAGTGCTTCTCGATAATATTACACTTTCATCTTGAGAGTTATAACTCGGATCGATCTTCGTTGATTTCTTTTCTGTTATTTTGCTTACAGGTTTTGTCTTTGACGTCTTCTTAACAGATATATCCTTACCTGTAGCTTTTTCATCATTAGATACAGACTGCTGGAAAACCTTGGAAATATTATTCGCTGAACAATCGTTCATCAATTTCGAAGAATCAACAGAAATGTTTTTTTTCAAAATTCTTATCTCATCATTAGCATTATTGCATAAAAATGATTTTCCATCTTCAATTTTTATTATGTTAAATGTACCTGAATCTTTTCCAATATTTGACAAGCCACTTTCGTTTGTATTGTTTTCTAAGAACATCGGCATCTTACTCTTAAAACTCGATAAATCTTTCAAAGAATCCTTTCCTACAATACAATTAATTTTTTTAATTGAATCAGTCTTTAATTCCGCTTCTTTTGCATCCGCTGTTGCTTCGGTAATAATCGTTTCAGTTTCGATGTTTGATGAATCAGTTGTTTTCAAGGTTAATATATTTTTGTTAGTCCTTTTCGCATTGTTTCTCGATGTTTTCGTCAGACTGATATCTTCTGGCTTAATATCTGCTGCTAGTTTTACCTCGTTACAGTATTCATTACTATACACTTCGTCATTTGTTTCCTTGGCCAAGGTCGTTTCGTTAGCCTCTAATTTGACTGCATTATTGTGTCGAGTTGCGTCGATTTTAAAACTTAATTTATACGCGTCTACGCTATTGGTTCTCTTTGAGGCATTTAAGGAAGAAACTTGCGCCAAGTTCGATGTTTTGTTCATCTTCTTTTCCGGCAATACAACAGCCGCGGTCCCGACGTCATGATCACTTTTCAGCGAATCCGCCTGATACTCTGCAGTCTCTCGTAACGGAAGCTTTGGCGCTTCTACGGCATTATTTCTATCCGTATTAATTTTAGACAGTTTTGGCAGACGACAGGTCGCGCTATTTGTTGTGAGCATCGTATCGCTGACGTTGTTTTTACCAACATTGTCGCTGCTTTCAATTTCAATGTTTTGCTTTATCATATTCTCGTTGTGCGACATCGCCAAACTCTTTGGCGTGAGTTTTTCCGATATGAACTTATCACTTTCAACGGAAGCAATAGAATTTTTTCTAGCGAGTACTTTTGGTGTTTTGATAGTTGAATCGACTTCCAAGTAGTCAAATATCTTCTTGGTAATATTATCAATCAAATGATCCTTCTGATTTTCGTCATTTTTTATATCTGCGATGAAAGTGTCTTCCAATATTCCTCGAAAATTTTCCATTTGTGAATCGTTTCTCGATGCGTTTGTTGAAATAAAAGCTAAAATGTTCGATTGTATGGGAGTTATCTCAGTTTCTTTTGAGAACGATAAATCTTCAGTAACGATTTCTCGCATATTGCTTTTTGTTGTTAAAATATTGATATCTCGATTATTCGACGAGTCATCTTTCGATATGGGAATACTATTTTTTGCCAAGGATTCCGTGTTTTTAGATTTATACATTGCCTTTTTTAACGCTTTAAAGTCTTTAATATTATTTGTCATTTGAATTTTGCAATTCGGCTCTGCTGAATCTACATCTGTTAAACTTTTTGATATATTATTTGTAAGAATATTATTTTCGATGTCGACGAAGTTATTCGTTAAGTTCAATTTATTTTCATTGGCTTTCACGTCGAGTTTCTCGAGTTTCTTGTTAAATTTTTCTGTCGGTTTTTTTATCGTCAAACGCACGCTATTTCTCGACATATCTTTTACGTAAGATTTTTGTACTGTCAACACGACTTGCGTTTCTGCTTCGTCTGCATCGTTCGAGATAACGTCTATTTCGTTTCCAGTTCCAAATCTATTAGGAATGGAGACTTTTATACTCTCCTTAAATTTCTCGTCTGTCGATTTGCACTTTTTGTTCTCTGCATTTGTATTCATCCAGAATGTGGAGAAATCTCCAGCGCTATTACATGCTTCGATCTTATATATCTGAGGTCTTGATTCATCATTCTCTGTAATCTGCGAATCAATGGAAATTTCACTAGAGATGCTTGATCGTCTTTTATCAATCTTATCGGTCGATGATAATTTATCAACAAATCTTTTTTTCTTTGTTTTTTTCATGGCTTTCCTTATTCTTGTCATAGCCGTTTGTTCTTCCTCCTGAATCATCATATCAGAATCGATATTGTTCGCGTAAGGATGCTCGAGCAATCCTTTTGCCATCGTTCCCTTTTTAAATATTGAAGTACCTCGACGTGTCTCATTCTCGATCTGAGCTTGCTCCTCTGCTACAAGACTGTCTAAGACTTTCGCCTGTACTTGCGCGTACGCAGCTTCTCGTTGCATTTGCTCGGAATTAAGTTGTAAATCGGAGGAAGATCTGCGTCGCGTGAATCTGCGAGTGATTCGCTTTCGCACAGCTTCTCGCTCCTCAGAATTTTCTAAATGATCTAAATTAATCTGATGATCTAAACGTATTTCCTGTTGACTATTATGGTTGTCTACTAACTTTTTGTCCTTAATAAAAAACTTCTCCATTAAAAGTTCACCTACTGACTTTTCGTGCTTCTCGTTGTGCTCGCGTAATGCTGGATTGTCTTTCAGGGCCTGCGATCTGATCTTGATAGTCGGCCGATCGCGACGTAGATTTCTGGAAGGATTCCTATTGTGCGAGAGTATTTTCGGTGATGAGACATCGATATCCGCCGTATCGATCACTCGTCTAGCTGATCTCACAGAGATCGGCGAGAAACGATGCAGATGGCTGAGTGGTGATTCGGAAATCGTCGACAAATGCGGCGAGAAACGCGACAACGAAGTGTGAAAAGGCATTCTGTGCGAAACATCATAATCTTATAAATACAATGAAACTTAAAAGCTCAATCGAGATAAATCAAATAAAAATATGTAATGCCTTGTTGAGCCAGCCATTGGATGTACATGTGAACAATGATTTATTCAATTTAAAAGTACATTTAACTGGAATAAATGACATATTTTCATTTGATCATAATCTTATTTGGAATTAGTGAGTCATAATTCTAGCTCTTTACATTTTACATAAACTAATTTCTGTTTGGCGGATACTTTTCTCATGAATCGTTCAACATGTTTATTTCATATATAAATGGTATAGATATATTTCATATATAAATGTTCAGATTATACCATATACAAAACAGAAGCTCATTAGAAGTTCAAGTCTTAACCCTTTCAGATCCTACGTACATTATAATATACATCAAATTTAAAGACATTCTTCATTGAAATTATTTAATTCTATTTACATAATTTAAGATCTGATGTACATAATAATGTATATGTTGGAAAAATAATAAAAATTTTGAAAACAATTGTTTAGTGAGAATTACTTATTAAAGTGCGAGTTTAAATTAAAAAATTGTTAATATAGTTCCAATAAAATCAAGTCTGACAGGGTTAACATAAATCATATCGAAAAAATATTACAAAATAATATAATAATATAGTATATATTATTCATATATATATTATTTAAAATATATCTATTATTTAAAATATATTTTGAATATCTTACAACAAATAAATATACGCGATTTGTATATATAGATTTATTAACATAAATTATGAATTTAATATTTGTTACTTCTATGATCATCGGTTTATAATTAATTCCCAAATTCATCATCATTGGCTACGTTTAGCAGAAAAAGCAGCTTTGCAACTGTTGTAAAATTCTTGAATATAACTGATTCATATATTTAGATTCAGTAAGGACTTAAGGGCAAGATCAATCATATTAAAGAATTTTACAACAATTGTAAAGCTGCTTTTTCTGCTGAACGCGGCTATTGTCGATGATAAGTGATATAATATGCCGTATCTGTCGTAGTACTTGTTTGTCTTGCCAAAGACAGATTTCATTCGTAATCCTAACGTTTTATGTATTTATATACATATTTTATAATTGTTTAAAAATATTTTTAGTACTGACTTTTCTGAAAAACTATGAAAGTTTAAACCAAAATCAATCCTGATAATAAATATATAAATTTTCGCAATTAAAAATTTTAATTTGTCTATAAGCAAGTCACACAATAATTGTCGATTTAACTAATTTTCAAAACATGTACATATTAACGACCTTGAGAAAGATTTCCACCAATAAATGTCCATTCGAATAAAAAAAAGAACATATTTTGATCCAATAAAAATAAGCTACAAAAAACTTCTCCGTTAAATATTATATATAAATAATAATGTTTTCAGTCGCATTAAATTAAAATTGTCTTTATTCTTACCGTACTATTCCTGTCATTAACGAACTATGATTAGCGTAAGCTCCTCCTCCATAATAGTACGGCACATCGTTATAGTACGGCATTTTCTTTTATACCTTCTTCTTCGTTTACACTAAATAATAATAGTCACAACGATAATATGAGAAAACAATGACAAACAAATTCGCGAGAAACAATCGATGCGTCGATCAAGAGGACAATTGAACAACTGCGTTGTTCTGCTTTTAGAGATAGTGGAGCGGTCACGTAAACGCGGTAGCTCTGGCTCTCAGGTGTGCGAAAAGTGAAGCTGTTCTCACGGTTCAGAGAGCCAAGACCAACTGAGTTTAAGCGACCCAGTGTAATAATAGAATTCTAGTATATGAGGCTTCCAAGCGCTTACTACTCGACTCTAATAACCTACTCGTTCGCCCGACTATTATGACTGGTAATTTTAACGATAAAAGGAATGCGGAGCAATAATCTTATCTGCATTTCCCACAACATTGCATTTAATACTTATTCATGCTAACAAAAATTAAAAGAATCTTTCGTTCCTATGCATATAATTGTTCCTTCTATTAAGGAACAAATTTATGCATAAAACGAAAGGAAAGAACTAATTGACCGTGAATGTTAAAAAAGAGATTTTGCTTTATTCATTTTTATTTATTTGTATATAATTGACTACATCAAATAGAAAAAAATATATAGAATATATATAGAAATATATATATAGAAGAATATTAAATACAGGATGTCTTACGTAACTGTGATTTTTCCGGCACTTCCGACAAAAATTAGTTTGGATAAAAGTTAATCAGTTTTCAATCGGTTATAAATTGCAATATTAAAAATTTGCAAAATACTTTTTTTTTAGGAAAAAAGTCAAGGTCACCCTAATTTTTTTAAATGGCACTACATATTTTTTATGTCATAATATTGTAATTAGAGTCAAGACGAGTTCAATGACCTGCTATACTATGACCTTGAGATGACCTTACAGTCAGACGTGAAGGACAAAGCCATTTCCGAATTCGTGATATTCTCGAATGTAGTTCACACGTATATATACGTAGAAAAAATATCAACATAACTTGTAGTATAACGAACGCTTCAATAGTTTTGTGTTCAGTTGTTCAGTGTTGTCTTAGTTTGTTGTTAGAGCAAATCATAGTTCAGTCTCAGTTTGTCGAAAATATATTCCTAATGAGAAAGTTGATATACTGTTAATATTCGGTGAATGTAAAAGGAAAGCACATGAAGCTGCAATTCTGTATGCCACAAGGTATCCACAGAGATATCACCCGTGTGCAACAATGTTTTATAACATTGAAAAGAATTTAAGAAATTATGGAGAATTTGAAAAGAAGAAACAAGATGGAACAAACCGCATTTAAGTACTTGCAGTAACTGCAGACAATATTCTTATGTCTTAGCACATTTAGAAGAAAATCCGCACACTTCCATTCGTGCAGTTGTTACTGAAACTGGTTTATCTAAGATTCTGTTCATAAGATGGTAAAACAGAATCATTATTATCCTTACAAAATGATTAATGTATGACATTTACGTATAAACGTAACTGATTTACAACGTCGTCTAAATTTTATAGCTAGTTGTCACATATGAAAGTAATCTTGAAATATTACAAAATATCCTATGGACAGATAAATATAAGTTCTCAAATAATGGTGTAATTAATCGTTATAATCATCACTTTTGATCGAAAGATAATTAGTTCCGAGAACATAATTTTCAACAGAAAGTTTATTACAGTGAATGTTTGGTGTGATCTAGTATACGGTTGTATGATTGGACCTTACTTTTATGAACAGAATTTGACAGCCCAAGCTTACTTAAATTTTCTTCGTTCTCAACTTCCAACATTGTTGCAAGTGATGTTGCAACGTATTTATTTCCAACAAGATAGTTGTTCATCTCATAACGCTCGGATTATTGTTTAATATCTAAATTCAAAATACGGAGAACGTTGGTTGGGCACTTACGGATCAATTCCTTGGTCTCTCGATTTGTCACTACTAGATTTTTTCTATGGTCATTTGCAATCAATAGTTTACGCGGTACCAATTCAAAATATGGAACATTTAAAACAGCGAAGAAATCCGTACAGCATGCGAAAAAATTCGCCGTGATAGTATTATAAGAGTAACTAATGGAAATTTATTATATAGAGCAGAATTGTGCCTACAAGAAAGTGGACTACAATTCGAACATTTATTGTAATTACATAATTTTTTTCCTTAAGATTTGTTATAATTTTTTGTTCTATTAGGTGTTGGAATTAATTCGTAGCGTTTTACAAGTGATGGGAAGTACTTTCATTAATGTATTTTTTAATGCTCATGTGAAATAAATAACATTCTTTCATTAAAAAACGCTACGAATTAATTCCAATACCTAATACTTTCTTGTTATGCTACTATTTTTGTTTATAATTTGTTATTTTGTATGTAGTTTCATTTAAAAAACAAGAATCCATATCTGTAAAAAAATAACAGATACAAAAATCTTTTTTTACTGTAGAATAGTCCATATAAAAAATTTAATACAAATAAAATAATTTTTCACAAAAACGTTTCCGTTCATCCCATAACTGTAAGGTCATCTCAAGGTCATAATATAGTAGGTCTTGACACCAGTTATAATATTATGAAGTAAAAAAAAAGTAGTGCCATTTAATAAAATTAGGGTGACTTTGACTTTTTTTCTAAAAAAGAGTATTTTGCAAATTTTTAATATTGCAATTTATAGCCGATTAAAAACTGATTAACTTTTATCCAAACTAATTTTTGTCAGATCATCGGAAGTGCCGGAAAAATCGTAATCACAGTTACGTGGGACACCCTGTATATAAAATAGGGAGAAAATATGATACATACAAAAAAAAATTTTTTATAGCAGAATTTTATTAGAATAAATGCCAATCAAATTAATATAACCGAACATTTGATTATTTCACCATAATAGCTATTACCAAATTCTAGGGGGATCAACCACTGTTAACATATACTGCTATATATACTGTACAATGATTGCTAATTATGGCAATATACATTTTATTGCTAGTATTGTTAATATTGTTATCCTATGTGTTGTTATGTACTACTACGTATTGCTAGCGTATTGCTAGTACTGCTAACATTGCTTTATTACTGTACTGTCACAATATATTTAAAAAAAATGTATACTAATTGCCATAGTGGTTGACTCTTTGATAGACTATTTTTTCAGTGTAAGATAAGAAATAATGAAAATACTCATAATACGATTATGCATACTTATCCGAAAAACTCCTGCGTCTAATAAGTCAATAAGGTCTCGGGACTTTATAAAGTTAGAATGGCTCAATAATGTTTACTTTGCAAATATTAACATATAGAACAAAATATCTTATCTCAATGTAGATTGTAACTTATGAAATTAGAGGAAAAACGTAAGAAATAAAAAAATGGTACTTACTTATTTAATATGATAAATATCCGAAGTACATAAATTTAGATCAAACTTTGCAGCAAATTGGAATGTCGTGAGGACAAATGCATCTTTTTATAACAGTTGGCACTACTACCGATTATTACAGAAATATAAAGGATGCTCATATTACTTGCAGTATACATAGTATCCAATCCTATCCTATATAGATCAAGCATTCTTATGATTTTTAATGAGGGATGAAGTCGGAAATTGACAGTTTATGTGGCGTTTAGAACTCGTGCTATTTCAATCTATCGTACTGCTTTCATCAAAATAGAAAGAGAGAGAGGGTCCTAGACGCTACATAAACTGTCAATTTCCGACTTCAAACTACAAACAGAATGTTTGGATTATGTATACATGTCGTTGGATAAATCGATTGATGTAGAGAAAAAATACATAGGTAACTATATTTAAACTATTTGCATATGAAATGCAACAATTCAGAAAAAGTATACATAATTTTATTAATTTTTTATTATATGTAATTATTTAGATGAATTATTTCCATTTAAATAAATAAATAAAATATACTACGCAAAAAAATTAAGGGATACTCTATTCTGTTCTCCAAAAATGGACAATTTTCAAGAGAGTGTAACTTTCAAGGGGCGTTTTATAACTATCTAGAACTGATTTGATTCTCTTTGAAATATTGTTGTTAAATACGAAAACTCTAAATGACATATATCTTTTTATACGTGCAAAATTTCATGTTTAAGGGATGAACAGCTCTTTGAAAAAAAAAAACGGTTTTTTTCTTTCGAAGCGTACATCGTCGGAAGTATTAAAAAAAATCGGTAATTATTTACTCAGCCCCTTTGAGCTTAACATATGTTGTCAAAGTTATAATAAATCCTAAGTAACTTTTCCTCAGCAACTAGATGACGGTCTCTTATAGTTTTTGAGATATTTAGAGTTAAAGTGCAATTTTAGTATTATGCGTCTATACGATTTTCTACCCGAAGCGAAGTCCATTTCTTTTTCCCTCCTTATCAAAAGGCGACTGATTTTCCACATAAAGTGAGGTCCAACCGACCACTTCCTCTACCTAAAAGTGTTTGATTTTCCACGCGAAATGAGGTTCAGCCCCTGCCTAGCGACGTCCAACTTTCCTTTTCACGCAAAGAAAGTGGGCTGGAACTCGCTTCGCGTAGAAAATTTTTTTAAAGTACAAATTCTCTGCTTTAAAAACATTCAAGATCAAGATCATCGGAGGTCCGTTATTGTCAAAATTTATCGAAATATTTATTTGTTACGAATTAAATTATATAATTTATCTATTCATCTACTTTCCTGATGAAATGATTAAATCCTAGCTCGCCATTGTTATTTTTTGTTATCTACTCGGCCACACCAAAATCTGTGAAATCTTACAACTTTGTCACGCTATACCTTTGAACTAAATATATATTTTTTTAGCTCAAAACAAGTGAAATCTGTATCTCAAAGACAGAGAGAAAGACAGATAAATATAAATCAAATAAAAAATATTTTATTTTTAATTAATTACAATGATTTAAAAAAATTTTATTGGAAAAATTCGCAAAAAATGATGATTTTATATAAAAAATTCCCAAATTTTTTAATCTAAATGTGAAATTTTTTTAGTTGACCTTCTGAAGTAAAAAAAAAACAATAATATGATATAAATCGCTCAAAGAAGTATAATTATTTGAAGTATCGAAAATCGACGTTTTTTTAAAAATCTAGATATTTATCTAGATTTT